TTGGATGAATGCCATCTGGTCCCGGAGATTTGTTAACATTAAGTTTTTCTATTTGTTCCAAAACTTCCTCTAATGACACTTCAATCCGGGACAGTTCCTCAGATTCATCACCCACAAAGGACGGTGCAGATTTGGTAATCTCCCTAACATCCTCAGCCTTGAAGACTGAAGCAAAGAAATCAGTTAGTTTCTCCACAATGGCTTTATCGTCCTTGATTGCTCCTTTTATAGCTTGATTGTCTAGTTGTTTTTCACCATTGTGGCAATTAGCAGAAAAACCAAGTCCTGGGTTACTTGTATTTCTAAAGAAGGACTCTTATTAGCAGTTTATAAGTAACATGTATGTTTAAAATGGATAATGAATCACAATGGATTATCCTAGCACAAGCCTAGTTTTGGTTTAGCTATTTTATTATTGCCATGGTGTCCATCTTGGTTCTGAAGCAGTAGTCACTATATAGTTTTCTACATAAACGTGCATTCTTGTTGGTTGTCATAACCTTAATACTTATTCTTCACAACTCAGATAGATGTAGGTTTCATTTTTAGAAAGCACATGCTATACATGTTAAACAGTGATTTATTTTAAAAACTTTTCAGATTAGTTTTACAGCTATATCAGAAAATCAGTGATTGTTTGGTTATTTCATTTAACAAAGATAATTGAAGCAGATATTTATGAAGTCATTGGGAAGTGAACTATCTGCAATTCAGCAAGTTCATCATTAATATTTGGAGGATTATCTTGCCGTGCTGTTTTAGGAGGAGAACATCACCAGACAGACACGTTAAATTGTTTTATTTAGCTAAAATAACAACACTATGTATTCTGGATTTTTTTCTTCAATAGCAAACGTAATATTTTAACAAAACAAGCATATGAATTTTTGAATTTAGTTAAACATTCAAGTTTTTTAAATCAAGTTTGTTTTTGTTAACATTGTTTTTAACTAAAATAGTTGAATTAAGTATTTTTTAAACAAAAATTAAATTGACTGTTTCAGCCAGGTCAACATGAGAGACTTAACATATTGGTTCTGTTTATTGAACTTTTTTAAACTTTGCAATTTTAGGCTATATCTACAAAGCAGCATTATTTCAGAATAGCTGATGTTATTCTGAAATAACAAAGAGAATGTCTACACTGCAAGCCTTTATTTTGAAATAATGTCGAGCTGGAGGACTTCTCACTCAGATTAGGGATATTAAATATCGGTTAATTGAATAGTCGATTAACCTTAAATTCTAATTGGTTACTCAACTATTCTATAGTCCCCAGGGGTGAGGTTGGCCGCCAGTGTGCTCCAGCCCCACTCCCGAGGAGACCCCTGCCACTCTGAGCTGCTGCCTCTGTATCTAATATTTACTAATATTTATTTGTATCTAATATTTATTTGTATTGTAATAGTGACCAGAACCACAAATCAAAATCAAGGTCCAGCTGTGCTAGTTGCTGTGCAGAAATGTAGACACAACAGGTGCCTTGAAATGATCATGATTTAAGAATACCACGGTACAGTGAGTTTTTAGACCTCCTGTTTTGTTGATCATAGGAACAGGATTATTCTTGTTGAAAATGTAACCTTTTGATGTCAGGAATCATGAACTAATGTTTTGCAAAGGTCTTAGTGCATCTCAAGACCTTGGAATAATTAGCATTTTGCATACCCAGAAATTTCAGATGCTTGGTGCTTCAGAGCTGATGTATGGTGTATCAGAGTTTCACTGGGCTGAAATCTGCAGTCATAGGGGACATAACTGATATTTTGTTAATCAGAAGTTTGTTTATTACAGGCCAGTTAAATCAGGGTTTATCTAGCTCTCTGTGTATGTGGTCAAATATTCTATTAAACACGTTTTTGGGCCACATTTGTACCGTGTAGTTTCATAATCTACTGAATGTACACCAGTATTGAATGTATCCCATGCTGCTAAGCAAAATCAGCCATATGTATTTTAGTATAACACATATTCTTATATTTTAAATATTTTAATAATTTACACTGACATCCTTTTGCTTTGTCCCCCCCCCCCATTTCTTTTCACTTCCTTCCATTCACTTTTCTTTATTTGTATACATTTCTTATCCTTTTTTGAAAATTTTTACATTTGTTGTTTTTCTTCTGTCCAATTTTTCTATAGTAATTTCACTAGTGTTTCTTAGGACCATTGTTTTTGTTTTTGCTTCTTTGAGGTAGAGAGAGGGCTTTTTTGGGGGAGGTTAGTAATACAATTTTTGGTGGTTATTAGCACATTTTCAGTTATATTTAGATGTCAAAAGGCTTGGGGGCTTTTTCTTTGTATATACTTGTGACAGGTTGGACTAGGCTCGAAGCCCCCTGCTGGAGGCCTTGCTGCACCGTGCCCCAGGGAGAAGAACAGAAGATAGGTCCTCCAGGCAAACTAAAGTGGCTCCTTCTGCTGCAATCAATCAGGACCCAGCAAGCTGATATAAAAGAAGCTGCTGTGCCAGGGTCTGGCAGTTCCTCACTGGAGCTTGACCCAGTCAGTCCTAGGGATTGACTGGCAGGACAGTGGCACCTTGGACAGCTCCAAGTGTGAGCTGGACTTCAGACCTGGCTGAGACCCTGGTCCAGGGGCTGAAGACTGGCCTTGATAGACTCAAAATAAACTTCAGAACCCTGGACAAGGTGCTTTGAGAACCTGAACTCAAAGCCCTGAAGGAGAAGTCTGGACGGACCAGCTTCTTGGGGAAGTGGCTCTGGAGCGAGGTAGAAGCAGATGGAAGTAAAAGTTAGCAGGCAACTTCTACTTATAGGATTCCTGGACCAGGATCCAGAGGACTGGGCAGGTCTGGGTACTCCCCAACCCCAACAGCTACAAAAAAGGGGGTAAGAACAAGCTTGATCCCAGGTGACTAACCAGAAAAGCCATCTGGAACACTTCCACTCCCAGAGCCAGTCAGTGCAGCGAAGTTGCAGTTACACCTTCAGCCACAAAGGGGTGCCTGTGAGAGGGTAATCCCCTTCACTATGCTGTAATAATGCTGTCATGTTTCCCAATATGTCATAGTCTGCATTTACTGCTCTGGATAGACAAGGCTGGAGATATAAGTATTTCTGGTGGTTTTTGGGTAAACACCAATTTCATTTCTTTTTTTGCGGGTGTTTTATTGTGTTTATCAGGTAAAACAGAAAACGGCAAGCCCTGAGTTAAGGAAGCTTATAGAGGAAGCTTGATGGTTATTTCACCCTCAACCATTTTTCTGTTGCTTTTTCTCCCTTAGAAATATCAGAAATGTCACGTCTTATCTTTTTCTTCTTGTTGGAGGGCTGTGTTGATGACTCAGATGTGCATTGGGAGCTTTTCCAGCCTTTAATTGAAGGGGTGGAAGTGTTGTGTTCTTAACAAACAAAACAAGTTTTTCTCCCAAGAGTTATATTTAAATAGGCTCTATCAAAACAACAACAACCAAACAAGGTTTTAAACAGTCAGAATAAAAATCCCTCTGGTTTTGCTTGCTTGGGTATGTATGATGTCTTTCTGCTGCTCTAGTTGCTAGTCTACTATAAAATATTTCAGGGTAGATAAAAATATAAATTTCAGATGTAATAAAGTAATCAGATTTTTTTTGGAAGGGACACTTTAAAACTTTTTTATCATGTCAGGGCTCACAAAAGAGCTCAAATCAATTTTTTCTTTGAATTCTTTTGTATACTTTTTTATAATGCCTCAAACAGTGGTTCTTAACCGGAAATATGTGGAAATATTCCAGAAGGTACCTTAATTCTTCTAAATAGTTACCTTGTTCTAGAACTGGTTAAATAAAAAACATTAGTTAACTCAATACAAACTAAAATTTCATCCAATGACTTGTTTAAACTTCTTTATATATTATACACTGAAATGAAAGTAAAATATTTATACTCCAGTTTATTTAGTTATATAGTTCTATGGTAAAATGAGAGAATCAGAATGTGCTGTGACATTTTATATCTGATTGTGTAAGCAAGTAGTTTTTAAATGAGGTGAAAGTTGAGGGTATGTAAGACAAATCAGACTGCTGAAAGAGATAAGGTAGTCCAGAAAGGCTGAGTGCCACTGCCCTACAACATAAAGATTTGGGAGACATAAGAGAGAGTGTCCACCTTATACTTTCAAAAGACTTTTCAAAGGCCCTTTTCTTTCCTGTCCTCTTAAACACACTCAGTTGCCACTCTCTGTTATCTGTCCTCAACAAATGTCCCATGCTTCTGCTGCTTCACTCAAAAGTTGCTATCTTCTGTTCTTTCATCCCAGTCCCCATTTCTCAATACCCCCACACATTGTACTTTTGTTTCTGCTCTTTGTGTCCTTTAAAAAGATCCACTCTTACTTCACGAACACATGTCCCTTCCAGAAGAACATTACATCTACCCCACAACAGCTTCTTATTCTCTCTTACCTCTCACTTTTCCATTCTCACTTACCCACTCCTGTTCATTCTCTTTTGTCCCTTCAGGTGTGCCACATTAAATCCATTTAACTTTCCCATCTTCTTCTGCACTCTGTTGCCTTCTCTTATCTCTACCCTGCTTCTTAGGAGAAAGTGTAGGTTCAAGAGGAACTTGTTTTAATGAAGAAATTAGATTATTGTTTAATTCTTATTTCTAATTGTAATAAGAAATTGTGTTATGCTTATAAAGGTGTCATACTTATAATCTTATAATCAATATTAAAATATACATTTTTGCTACAATTGTACATTGTATTGTATCGGCAATGTTTGTAATTGCAGATACTATTAACTTGTTCTGTATGTATGTTAATATTGGTTCTTCAAATAATTTTCTTGCTTTATTTCTTCTTTCCCTTTTTTGACAGCATATACGTATTAGAGCTGTAATAGGATAACTGTTTACACGGTTAACTGATAAGAATATAGGGTTTCTTGGTTACCGTGAATGATTATACACAAGCTGCCACCCCTCACTGCTGGCTCTGTACCAGAGCCTGCATTGCAGGGCAGCAGCCAGCTCCCTGGGAACAGGATGGGAGCAAGGAACTGGTACGTAATGGGAGCCAGGTTTTAAGCTGGCTCTTGGCATGCGTCAGCTTCAGGGGAGCTAACTGCCACCCTATGCTGCTGCCTCTGGTACAGAGGCAGGAGCGTCGGGCGGCAGCAGGTGCACACCAGGAGCTGGCTTAAAAACTGGCTCTCAGCATGCACTGCGGTGTGCTGTGCGTAACCATGTAACTGCTGAAATGTTCAGTGTTTACACAGTTACCCATTAACATGCTTTTTAACATTCTAATATGTATAATCCATTATTGGTGCTAGACACTGCAGATAAGTATATAAATAAAATTAACTATCTTATAGTTAAAATAAAAGTAGCAATATTAAAAAAAACAACTTGTGAATATAGTTTTATGTGACTACCTTTGGAGCATGCAGCATTCAGAGTAGCAGGAGCCGGGGAACTGCACTTAGGCCTTTCCTAGACAAGACTTGCTGGTGCTGTTATAACTTGAGATAATTGCCAACATAGCATTTTGGACTGAACATTTTTATGGATACATGTTATAGGCTGAAGATAGTGAGACTAGTTGTGAATTGTTCAGATGATGTCATTTTTAGAGTTTTGTTATATTGCCATTGGTTTTACTTAATTTTGTTTCTGTAAATAAGTCTGCTACACTTCTATAAAATGAAACACTGTAGATATGGTATGAATGATCACTTACTGCACTGAGACAGTTGTAATACCAATCACATCAGATGGGGAAGCAGCTGTCTGTTGGTTTAGCCTTGTGTTAGTATTAAGCAGACCAGACCAAAAAACCACTTTAATTTCTTCTTCAGTTGTAACTGTTGACATACAACCTTTTATATTGTTTTAAACAAGTTTCTAAAATAACAACAAACCTTGATCTTGATAGATCTTATTAGCTTCCAAAACCATGACTACAACATTGTAAAAAAACCTCTATTTTTTTAATCGACATCCTGCCAAAAAGAATTTCTAGGTGCTAAATATCCTTTGCTCTGTTTTTTGCGAGTAGGAAGATATTGAAATTACTTTTGAACGTAGTAATATTTAGAGAATGGATATATGTGTACAGACATGCACAGTTGACATCATTTACTGACTCACTTCGGTTTAACCATTAGTGTTATGAATTAAGGAAGATCATAAAGTGGAAATAGAATAGAGGAGTGTGGGCTGAGTGACTTGTGTGTGTCTCAGTACTATTACTCAAGCTATGTCTAGACTACAGCTGGTACAGTGACATAGCTATGGTAGTACAGCTGGTACAGTGGCACAGTTATGGTGCTTTAGTTATGCCACTGTACTGAAGTAGCATGTAGCTTCCAGCATCAAAAGAAACGTATTTTATTGTCTATAGTTAATCCACCTCTGAGAGAGGCGATAGCTAGGTCTGTGGAAGAGTTTTTCCATCAGCTTCTTAGTCATGTCTCCCTTGGGGTTAGATTGGCATAAATGTGGAGCTCATGGTGTGAAATTTTTCATAGCCCTTAGCAACATAGCGAGTCAGTCCAACTTCTAAGTGCAACTGAAGCCTAAACATAATACTTGTTGCACAGTAGAAAAAACAAAGTGAAGAAAGGGAGGAGTGGCTGATAGGGATGTTAGCTGTTACATGATTATTCGATGGCACCCGGGGGCAAGGCCAACAGTCAGTGCACTCCCAGCCCCACTACCAGGGAGCCCCCTGCTACCCTGTGCTGCTGCCTTTGTATCAGAGGCAGCAGTGTGGTGTGGCAGGCAGGAGCTGATTTGTATGGGGAGCTGGTTTAAAAACTGGTTCCCTATGCAGACCGGCTCTCACCTGCTATCTATCAGAGGCAGCAGCATTTCAGGGTAGCAACAGCCCCTATCCATGGGAGCCCAAGCTCTCCATGGACAGAGGCTGCTCCAGCATCCTCCAGAGCAGCCTCTGACTGCGGCAAGCCTGGGTCTGTATCAGAAGCAGTACTGCTCTTCCTTTAAAACTTGAACAAGCAGGCTGGGACTGAGCCAGCCTGAGTTTTAAATGCAATACATGGGAGAGGGGAAGGGGTTTGCTGCAATTAACCAGGACCGGAAACCGATAAGCAAGAGCCTATCAGTTAAACAATTATCCAGCTAGCCACTAGCATCCCTAATGGCTTAGTACCCAAGTCACACTGGTGCTCCACAATATAATAAGGAAGGATTATTACTCACTTCTGATGTTGCAATGTCTACACTATTTGTATGCAGCTGTTCAGGTAGGAGCAATAAACGGTTGTACAAGAAGCAACTGTGGATGGGAAGAGAAATGGAGAAGGGGGGGAAGAGAAGGAAGGAAGGATTGGGAAGAAACATATCTTTGGACATGAGATATGGGAGCAGTCATGAGCTTCAGAGTGCAACATTCATAAGACAGTGAGGTGTCCTGTGAAATGTTCATAGGTAAAACCAGTTATTTGATGTCTCCGATAAGTAATAGAATTGTATCTACTATATATTAGAAAGTTTGTGCGTCTGTCTGTCTACCTGTATGTGAACTCTTCCTAAAGAGCAAGAGCTAGGACCACCAAATATGGTATGCAGTTTCTTCTTATAACTTAAAGTAAGATCAGGGTCTGATTGTGCCAAGACAATGGTATGTGCATGGAATGCAATTGTTTTTCTTTAGAAATGGAGGGCTGTGATGCTGCAGATGGACCACCGGGGGGCAGCAAACATGGGGGTCAGTAATACTGCAGAATGATCAGAGAGAGACAGCAAGCAAGTGTACTCTTGTTTCCCTGACGGCCTCTGGCAAGCCCTCTGGAGCAGCTGCTGGCCAATCAGTGTGGCCCCCGCCACCTTGGGAAGCAATGCCGACTGTCCCCATGCCCTGCCGTAATTCCTGCACCTCCCATCCCATGCCCCGTACCCCCACACCTCTTAATTCCCTGCCCTGACTCCTGGGTCCCCTGACTCTCTACCCCTGGGGTGGGGAACCTTTTTTGGGTTGGGGCCACTTATCCACAGAAAAATCAGTTGGGAGCTGCACACAAGTGAGAAGCAAACAAATAAAAACAGATTAAACCCTCACTGATGTGGCCCCCAACTAAGAAGGATAAAGAAACTTCCCACCTTCTGCTCTCACACCAGAGCCTAGGGGGGTCCAGGTTAGTAGATTTTATGTGCTCCAGCCCCACAGAAGAGTGCTGGGGACTGTAGCTCTAGCACAGGCTCCCCAATGCTGAGCGGGAGTCCTGAGCCCTGGAGGCCTGATCCAGGCAAGCTGGGGGCCACATCTGGTCTCCAGGCCTTAGGTTCCACACACCTGCCCTATCCTAACTCCTGTATCCCTTATCCTGAGTCACCAATAGCTCTCACTCCCTGCTCTGACTGCTGTACTCCCAATCCCCTACCTGTACTCCAGCACCCCTCATATCTCTCAACACCCTGCATTGAAGGACCCTAGCAATGCCGAGTAAATCTTCTGGTTATAAAAATTAGAGGCGTGAAAGTCCCATCTCCTTGTTGCTGCAAGTACATGCCTCACAGTATGTCTTCCCATGCGTAGTCCAGACTATTTCTAAATGTGCTACTTGTTTTGTCATACCGAGATTATTTCACAAATTGATATTTTACAGTCTTTTTGATACCCTAATTTTTTCCTTCCTTATATCCATCTTCTGTCTAACCCTCCCCCATCCTCCATAGAATCTTAAATAATTCTCAGCTCCTGCAGTGGTTATCGGGTGGGTGAAGCTGCTGTTTGGGGAGACAAGTGCCCCAGTCTGTGGCCCCTTCCCTCTCCAGTACCTTACACCTTTTGAACGATCTCCTTCTTATAACCAACAGGAGGGGGATGCGGGGGGGGGGGGGGGGAGGGGAAGGAGAGAGGGAACACTCTTCTAAAACTTCTTTCTATAGAAAATGGAGCATGTTTTCCACTGCATGTTAGATTGTAATGACTGGATATACAGAAGGTACTTAATTAAAAGTACTAAATTTGTGAATTAAAAATGTCAGTCACAGGATTTTTGATATACTGTACTGTAAAGTTTTATCAGATTTGTTTACAGAAATTTTGTAGTACGGGCAAGTCAATTGTCCTACTGAATACAACATTAAATATTATGGAATATGTGATGCAGATCTTCTCCGTTTTACATTTTCTTCATCAGTATTTCTAATATGATTGCAAAAAATTGACATATTTATTGATATATAATTAATATACATTTTGTGATTTTATTTGGGAACCAATAAATCAAAAACAAAATATTAACAAAATATCCTCCTCCTCTCCCCCAGAGCCAGGTAGTCTCATAGCCTCCTTCTAACCCAATCACCCTCCGCTCCTCCAAAGCCCCCCTGCTCTCTCCCAATGCCTCCCCCAGAGCTGGGTACCCCCAACCTAATGCCTCCCCCATCCCCCAGAGCCAGGCAGTCCCAACCTATTGCCTCTCCCCTTTGCAAAGCCAGGCACTCCCAGCACCCGCAACTTAATGCCTGGGTCCCGGAGCCGCTACTGCCATACATTTCTTCCTCAGGTGCTGGGGCGGCGTGAGCACAGCAGCCAGCCGTGAGCAGCACTTGATTCCTGTGCAGAGCAGCCTGGCTGGCCATGAGCAGTTGCTGTGGCGCCATGCACAGAGCAGTCTGGCCGGCAGTGAGCACGTGCTGGAGCACTGAGCGCAGAATGGCCTGGCTGGCTGTGACCACATGCTGGAGCACCGAGTGCCATGAGCACATGCTGGGTGCTGTTCGCTGAGTGGCTGGTCTGCCAGCTGTGATCTGCACTCGGCCATGTGCTCTGTGCGGACAGCGGTCTGCACTTTATTCTTTTATAAAAATGTACGGGAGGGCCGCAAAAAATTTTCATCGGACCCCATGCAGCCCGCCAGAGGCCTGTTTGACATGCCTGTTTTCAACTAATTAGTTAGAGCAGTTTAGAGTGTTCATAACAAGTTTGGTGCTTTTAGAGAAAGGGAACTAAAATTTATTTTGTGAGATTTTTTTCATAACAAGACAAGCTTATGAAATTTCATTATATGTTTATCTTAAAATATGTTTTCACAGATTTTAGGCATAACAAAGGATTTTATATCTGAGTAAGGAACTGATTTTGATGGAGGATTCTCTTAAAACTAGTTAATCAAATACTCATTTATC